GTCTGAGTAGGGCAGCCCTCAGTGTCTGCAGACTAATCTGACTGTGTGTCTTGTGGCGGGGGGGGTTTCTCCTCAGGCAAACAAACTTGCTGATGAGAGAAAAGCCCACGATATGGCCATCAAAGAGGAGAAAAAGAAAAACAAGAAGGCACGACGGGCATGATGGCACTTCCAGGGCTCCCCTTGAGGGGGCCAGCCCTGACCTTGGCTCGCAGATCCTGGCTGGCTGGACTGGCCTTGGGCCTGCTTGTAGCCAGGCCGTACCTTGCAGAGACCATCTTGTTCTTGGGTGGAAGTCCCTCAGCTTTGCTCTTGAGGCAAAAATGCTAAATTAAAACATGTTCCCTGTCTGGAAATATACCTCCTGCTGTGCCTTTCCCCAGGGCTCCTGGGTTCCCTCAGATCTCCTCTGCACAGGCCTTTGGATTGCGTGTGTCAGTGCTGCTGCTCATCCTGGCTTGCGTGGTGGGATCAGTGTGACAGGCCCAGCTTGAGGACTGTCGTCTTAATGCTGCTGCCATTTCTGCTTCTTAACCTGCAAGTGCAGTGAGCAGAGTCAGAGGAAGGGGAGGAGGCCAAGGGGAGCACTGGCTTCTTGCAGGTTGCTCCTGGGTGGTTCGTTTTGAATTTTCACAGATGTGGGCAGAGGAGAAAGCCAGGCCCTTGCAGCAGAGCAGGAGGTCACCTGCGACTGCCTGGTTTTGTTGGACATTGCGTTGTTTCTTGGAGGGGAGGGAGGCTCGGTGCAAACAGCAGGGCTCTTGCACCAGCCTTAGGGGAGTGGAGCTGCAGCAGAGGGGAGCCTTTCCTCTCCCCAGAACAGGAGCTGCCCTCCAGCATCTCTGAGGCCTTGCGCTGCCCTCCAGCGTTGCAGACTGTAAACAGTTTCTACTTGTATTGGACTTTTTTAATTAAAAAAGGTGACACTTCCCAGGTGGTCTCTGGTGTCATCTGTTCTCTCCTAGCTGTGGCAGGGCAGCGTGACTGCTGTGCTCGGTGATCTGCCCCCTGTTGTGCTATGGCTGTCATTGCTTGTTGCCCTCTGCCGCACGTTGCTGCTAGGGGCAATTTTGGTAGGGTCCCGTCACGCTCTGCTTAGTTGGGATGCTGAGAGCCGGACCCTCTCTGAGTCAGCATAGGAACTGTGCTGCTGGGTTGTGTCCAAAGAGTTTGTCAAAAAGGGAAGAAGCGAGGGTTTTGCAGCTCAAGAGTCCCTCTCCCCTTACAGCAGGCAGCTGCTGATAACCCTCCTCTTCCCCCAGCAGCTGGACTGCATGAGGCCCCTGCTCCAGGGCCCGTTGCCTGCATGGGCACCCTGGTTTCATGCACACTCATTGCAGAGGCTGTTGTGTCCAGCAGACTTTGAGGCTGGTCCAAGGTGCAGGATCTTGGCCAGGCAGGCAATTGAGTTAGTCCCTTGGGGCAGGCGTTTCTCCCTGTTCTCCTCCTGTCGCCTCTGGGAGCCTCCTACGCTTCCTGCCTTACAGCCCTACCTCAGCCAGCCCTTTGCTGGCAGATGACCTGCAGTGCAAATACTGGCAGAGACAGTAGAGAAGGCATTTCAGGGGAGAGGTTATTACAGGTATGCTGGTTATCAGCGCTGAATTGTCTTGCTCGAGTCGAGTGCTGAATAGAGTTGAGGATCTTTTTCCCTGCGTAATCCCTATGAAATGTTTGGACTCCAAAGGCTTTTTTACAGATGGGGAAAGCAAGGCACAGGGAGGGGAGCGCTTCCACCAAGTGCAAACCCCAGTGCCCTGGCGTGTAGTGCCTGGGAGCTGCAGCACTGCCTCCAGGTCTCGTGCCTGTGCGAGACAAGGGTGTTGAATGGCTCCCAAAGCAGTTAGCAGAGGTAATTAAGGATGAGCAGCTTCACCCCGTCATACCTCTGGGAGCTGCAGCCTTCTCTTGTCTGTTCTGCCAGCGCTCGCCTCTGAGATACAGGCAGAGCTGGGCTTACTGAACCGCCTGAAGCTATCCCAGTCCCAGTTTCACGTAATGTGCCCCTTTCCCCTTGCCATGTACCTGCGGGGCGAGGCAGCATTGCACAGGCAAGCAGAACTGCCCCGGGCAGTGACAGTCCTTGTTTAAAGCGGATTCAACCAAACGTCCCACCGCACTGCCTTTACACGGAGATACTGGTGCCAGGACCAAGCTGCCTGAGCCTGAACAAAGACTGGGTTTTACTGCTAAGGGGGTCGAGTTATTCTTGCAAGGTCTAGCGTTGTCCGCAAACGCTTCCCGGGGTTAAACATGTAATCACGGCGAGGACAGTGCGAGGCTGCCAAGCTGGCCGGCGGCTCGCAGGAGCACCCTCCTGCGCCGCTGTGTTTGCGTGCCAGCGCTCAGCTTAAATTGTTTTCAGAAGACGGGAGCAGCTTTGCCCTGCGCTGACCCTAGGTGCTAGGAAAGGGAAACGAGGCTTGAGTAGCATAAAGGGTCCGAAATATGGACTCTCGGAGAATCAGTCAAAGCTAGGATGGAGAAATAGGAGTCAGTGCTCTGTTTGGGGAGTTTGGGGTGTGGTGTGGACCCTCTCCAGACCTGCGGGTGTTCAGGACTTGGGCTGGGCCCCTGCAGACCCCGTCATTTTTGGAGATGTCCCCAGGGCTGGTGCGGCGCGAGAGCTAGGGGCTGTTTGCCAGCCCCCGAAGCTGAGGCACGTGGTTGAGGGATGCCCATATCTTTGCGGGCAGAGATCTCGCCTCGGGTCCAAACGGGAAGAGGCTGCTTGGAACGAGCTTGCGCAGTTTGGGCTCGACATCTGCTTGGTGCAGGCTCCAGCGGAGAGAGAGGTAAGTGATCTTCCCACTGCGTAAGCCCTGTTTCTCCCCGTCTCCGGCCAGCGTGAGGTGACAGCAAGGCTCAGGAGGAAGCATCCCCCTTTGGCCCGTCTTGCCGCGTACCTTCGTGCAGCAGGGCGAGCCTTGGGCCGGTGTTAGCGACCGCAGGACCCCCCGGAGCAACCCACTCGGCGCGGGCTGACATCAGAGCTGGGCTGTGCTCG